CCAATAAGCCTTTTTCCAGTTCAATGCAAGCGACCGCTGTTTTAGTAGACAAAAGACTCACTTGCGTAGAGAACAAAAGAAAGCAAGAAAAAAATGTTGGCATTACAATAGCTCTAGAAATTTGAATCTTCAATTTGAGGCTTAGCCTGAGCAAGAGTTTGAACCTTCTGGGATTACAGAATCGGAGAAAATGCAAATTTATAGGGCTGTTGTAATGACAACATTTTTTCGGGCTTTCTTTTGTTTTTGGTAAGGTCTTTGCGCATAAAAGACTGTTGTCTTTTATAAGCAGCGGTTGCTCGCTTTGAACGGGAAAAATGCGTATTCAAGCCGAAACAGCTGCACATCGTTTCTAGTTGAATTGGGTCATTTTTCAGTTGACTTTTACAGTTGTCGCTGATCCTAAGAGTCTGAGAATTGAGCTACGTATACTGATTACACATGCTCTTTTATGATCTCCGAGCTTATCCCACATGCCTTAGTGACTCATGTGTCATCGAAAACGAAACTTTCGTTCATTTCTAAAAAAATATAAACACTTTTAAACGTCTTACACTTTCAGCTACCAGAAATTCGAGAAAAGCTACTTCGAGAGAACGCCGGGAAGTGGGACAAAATAGCACAACGGCAAGCGAAAGAGTTTTTCTCTCCTTCAGAAAACGATATGAGAAAACAAGCGCAAAAGTAAGTAAAAAAATATTTATTGAATATTTATAGTGATTTCATACTTTTTGTTGCGATTTTTTATGGTTTACCTTTCACTTGAAACGCTGAAAAAACGCACTTCCACACAATATGACATAAGCACCAATTTGYCTCTTGTTAGGTGGGCAGCAACTTACAATTTCGATACAATGGAAGACTTGATCGACGAAAAACCAAAGTGTTCGACGTGTGGACRGCCTGCTGCTAAGAGATGTTCAAGATGTCAAAATGTCTGGTATTGCAATAGGTATTACATTCACACAATATTTAATATCTCTGACTATATCTTATTAAAAATATGTGCCGAGCAAGAGAACTACACGCCTGCGACATTGTTTGTGACTTTGAAAATTGGGGAGTCTACAGCGGGCTGCTCGCTATTTCATAATTCTTTTTTTCAATCAATTTGTTTTTCAATTTTCAGAGAGTGTCAAGTTAAAGATTGGTCTAAGCACAAACCTGTGTGCAATCTTGTTGCCCAGCAGACAAAATAGACTTAAAGAGGGAGAACCTAATCTCTCTTCTCGTGTCAACAACTTAACATATTTTTGGGKGGATTTTAGTGGAAATAATAGCAGAAAGAACTAGTGGAAAAACCTCAGAGAGCTTGGACCTGCAAATTTTGCGATTTATTTTGCACCTGTAAATGTTTGTGATGTACATAAATCATAATTAACTTTTTATGGAAATCCTTATTTATCTCAATAAAAAAGGGGCAAAATTTTTGTTTTTGATGTAACATTTGAAGTTCTCCACACTTGAGGGYTTTGGATTGGTGCCGAGAGTAAAATCTTGGACTGCCGCACCAATTGGAAGACAAAATCACTATGTCACCAGCAAACATCCCATGCCTTACCCCCTCAGACTTTCGATACAAGGTGCAATTTATGGATCAATGGCAGAATGGATGGATGGCAGAAACGATCTTCGGTGGTTGAATTTACATTCCTACTGGAAATAAAGCGTCGACTCTTTTTCAAACTGTTTCTTTTTGCCCTCCGAAAAGGGGTACGCAAGAGCATCAATGATATTATGTAGCGCAAATCTCTTCTGTGATCTTTTCAAAAACCTTTACATTGCAAACAGGGGTCCCGGTCCCAACAATTGGTGAAATCACGCTGCAAATTCTAAATAGCAAATGCGTCCTCCCATACTAACTTGGAAACCAGATTTCCGTAAACTCACAGGCTGGACTCACAGCATAGTAGATATTGTTTTCTTTATTATCATTATTTTCAAGATTGCTTTATGTGATTTGAAGGCAAGAATATATAGAAAAAATAGAAARTCAGCACCACAACTACGTAGGAGGAGCCGACGGGTTCCTGGGTTCCAGGATTTTATTTATAAAWGTTTTTGACGAGTTTAGGCTGGTTAGGAWTCTCGCGATAGAATTGCGCGTGGACAGTGCCCTAGAATACACTCTGAGAATGTCTAATTTTATCACTTTATTTTTAAAATGGTGTTCTATTTGATAACCACTAGGAAGAAAATCTGCTACCTTGAATAATTATAGCTGTCGTGACGTTATTGACTGTGAAAGTGTGATGGTCAAAAAGTCAAGTCACGAAAGTAAACAATTACTAATTTAAAAACCTTCACGGGATATTTGACTTCACTCTATCCTCTATTAAACAAGATAGCAAATAATACCTAAGGCTTCATTCACATGTATCCGGATTATTTCGAAGCGCATTATGTTATCATGCCTCGTTTACAGGTATGSGAAACCATCGAAAACGATGGCCATATCTGGATATTTTTAGGTATATGCTGTAAAAACATTTTAACAGAATTATTTTTTTGAAAAACGATTTCCGCTCTGTAAATTTCTCGTAAATCCTACAAAASGAAGAAAAGTTGGCGTCTAACCTAGATCCCGACCTTGTATTGACCAGTCGTTATATTTTTAAATTTCTGTGACGTCATTAGTTAGTGACGCATGCGCAGTGTATGTCAAGCGTCGCGTCCTTGTACTGAGCGCGCCTTCATACTGGTTCTTGTGTACTSCTATCACGCTCGTACAACTCTCTGGTAGCTACAGACGATATATAGAGCTAGTATAGTTTGGTGAAATCSAACGATCTTCTCAGCAAATYACTATGGACGGTATGTACTCACATTGCGATTTGCAAAATTGTTATTTCTGTGTTTTTTCGCGTAGAAATAGAGGTATAATTTGATCCGATATGTAATCAAGGTCCGGCGAGTATGGCCAATACATTCATATAGTAGTTCTATGTAGACTAAAGAAATGTATGTACGTGGGCCTCGGGTACAAGAAATGTATGTAACTGTTGGTATGACCGCAGGCTTGCACCATGTACACATCGATTGATGTTATTTACGAGTTTTTATCGAGTATTCGAGCTGGATCTACACTTACAATTGAGCAAATAAAGGCCTTCAAACATGTGCGTTGGATTTTTGAAGCTTTTGTGAAATGCGCTCAAGCTCGAGCTGATCGGTGTTGTGGCGCGGGGCCCCTTGTTACAGTAAATGTATGTAGCCTTTCATAGTGTAAATCAACCTTACAAAACMTTCAACCGGGAACACTTACTAGATAGCAAAACCCAAGTTTTGGGCTCAGRCTGGCTTTGTTCGCTTCGAAATCTCTTGTAATCGATTTTAGACTGATTTCTCAAATTATTTCACTTCTGTTTTCAAGGTAAAACAAAAAAGCGCGCAGCCGCGTCCCAGAAATCCAAATCTCCAAAGAAATCCAGAAAAGGAGCAAAGAAAGGAGACGAAAACAAAGTTAARCGTCCTCTCTCGGCGTACTTGTACTTTACAAAGGAGTTTCGTGCAGAAAGGGCAGCCAAAGGACTCGACAATAGCAAAGTAAACGAGGTGGCCAAACTTGCTGGGGAAAGATGGAGGTCTATGAGTGATTCTGACAAAAAACCTTACCTAGAAAAAGCGGCCGTGGATAAAGAAAGATATCAGAAAGAGGTAAAACTTTTACTTTTACATGATTTCTTTCTTTGATATTTTTGGGAGATCATGTTGGTTTTAAAAATTAGATAAGTTTTTGAAGTTACTATCATGAACTAAATAAATCAACTRAAAAATTGTAAATTTACATGATAACCCAGCAGTAAGTATATTCAGTGTGATCAACTGATCTAAATATACTCCTTGAAGAGATAAACATTCAAAGAAAACCAGTGTWTTTTTCGTGAAGAAAAACTTTTAATCTTGAGTGTTTCAAATAAATTTTCAACAGTTGTATCAGAAACTCTAAAACTCACCAATATCAGGTAAATGTATTAATACTATACTTAACTTGCTTCAAGCTCAGCTTAAATTTACCSAGATACTSTTTGTCATATTCGTGATATTTTTTTGTGAAGTCTGCTACACTACTGGGAAACAGACATTTTAAAAGTGTGCAAGAACTCGGAACAGCAAAACAGCAACATCCTAGAGTAGTGCGGACTATGTCTGGACATCTTGCTTCATTACAATGCTGGGTCGACACACAAGCTTCCACGATATTATCAAGTTCCTATCTGGCACCAAAATCCATAAAATAGACCAGGAAAATACTTCCAAACTAGAACCCATCGMGATTTCTTTGGAAACAGCTTACCTCTTATCTGTTCGACATTGCTCGAATGGACTATTCGATACGACGCCATAATAACTATTACAAGAAAAGTCCATTTCTTTCTCACTTAAAACGTTCTAAAAGATAACTTTAGCTCTTATGCACTGATATTGTCGAACATTAGGTTAATTTAGAAGATCTAAGGCTCTCTTTTGCCGTATTTCTTGTCACTTTCCTCAAGCCTCAGTCGATTGAAGTTTACTTCGAACGATTGTGCGCATGCTCATTGAGCACTGCCTTGATCCCCTCGTGCCTTGCTTCTGTTGTAGCAGCAGTCTTTCTCTTTAGCGCGCTCACAAACTGAAGACTTTATTACAAGAAATTTTTATTTCGGCAATTGAGTCAAAAGCAGCCAAAACCAAACCATCTGGTCTTCCGACAAACAGAAACGGGATTATGGAAGGTATATTTAATTTAGGAAATATTTGAGAGATTTTTTTGTATTAGCGCGCTCTCTGGTGGTAGGCCCTCTTGCTCTCTCTACTGTCTTTGCATATCACCAGTCTCACTATACATTCATACTAGSGCTCCAAAGGCGATATGTGTGAACTAGACCAAAAAGTCCCCGAGATTTGATTACAGAATATACAGTGCATTCGACTTATTTCCAGCTCAAACCTGTTCAAATCAATCCGGAAAATAGGTAAATTTGTAAATCGTCGAATGTCAAGACCTGTGCGAGATTTTCGAGACAATTWTTTTCACATTTTCGAGGTCGTATTCTAAGAAGAAATGTATGGAAATATGTGAGCTACTTGCGGAGACTGTTGMAGTTATTAAGTAACTGCACTGTGGGTCGAATAAATCCGCGTAATCGTCATTTTATCGGTCCAGAATACACTCCTTCGCCCTCCTTGAAGTCGAAGAGATACAAACATGTTGTTTTTCTCTTCTTGTCGATTTGCGAAGGAACGAAAGGAAAGAAGCGACCAGCCGAGAACTCAACCGCAGGAAGGAAGGCCAAACAACAGAAAGTTGAAAACACTAAGGGGAAAAAGAATAAGAAAGAAAAGCCGGCAGTCAAGAGAGCGTCTTCAGCCTACATCTACTTTTCCAAGGACTTTCGCACCAAACTGAAGGAGAAGTGCGAGAAGACGGGAGATACAATTCCTAAAGTGAACGAAGTMGCAAAGCTTGCAGGCGAAGAATGGAGGAAGTTGTCAGCAGAAGATAAAAAACCGTTCGACGAATTAGCTAGGAAAGACAGAGAACGGTATCAAAAAGAGGTATGTAGGCGAAAATGAAACCGTAGCAGCACTTGTTTGCTCCGTTTTCATCGAAGCAACAAAATGGCGACCATCTTCAAGAGCTAAGTCAAGTGAAGTATTGGCAGGTCACGTGATAACTTACTTYTCTTTATTTTTGTATGAATTTTTTCATCATAAATGTCCTGCAAATTAAATTTTAAAAGATTTTAACTTGTACGTTGGCAACTAATTAAATTAAATTATTATTGTAAGTTTAAACTCAAAAATAAAAATTGATAAACAAGTTTAAAAACAAACAATTCAATAAGGAAGTGTTTAGAATGTATAAAAAATAAAATTCAGAAGTATAACTTTTATCAAAATAAACAGAAAAATAAAGAAATCATTTATTTATTTTATGGCTTTTTCATAAAATATCTAAGTGAGAAAAATATAAGTTAGTAAAAACAATGTTGTCAAAATGACATAATGGTGTAAGATTCACAACAGAGCAAGGCTCAAAATGAAGTGAGTTTGTCCAAGTTGTTGAGAAAGGAAATGAACACCGATTATACTTTTCCAGAAAAATGCTCTTAGATTAGTATTGTAGTACAGGAAAAATCTATATTTTGTGCTTGTAATTATATTGACATCCTACAACATGCAATGATGTCTCATAGCAAAAAGTTATGACATATGCGAGAGTCAACATGATATCCAGTAAAGTCATATTTTAGTGGTCAAAACAACTTTTAGCTTAGGAAAACTTCTGCACAAACATTTGAACTTTTGACCTCACATCATGTATAACTCTCAAAACAAAACATTGTTGAAGGTTATCAAAAAGTTCCCAACTTTTTTGTTTGTCACTGCAACAATGCCTCAACAGAAATACCATAATACAATGGAAGTCTAAAGTATTACTTTAAAACAATTGATATCATAAAAACGAGCTAGGGYGGACACCGCCACTTGATCAGTTAAAAAAAATAGTACTAATTAATGCTAAATAGTGTTCATTAGACAATAGAAAACAAAGGAACAAACAAATTTTAGTATCATTTGGTACTATTTAAGTTTCACTGATTAAGTGCATCAGCCGTAATGCTCCAACATCATAAGTAATGGATATGACAAAATATCCTCCTTGACATCAAAACCAACATGTTGTCAGTTTTGATGGCACAGACAGAACGGAAGAAAGAAAAGAAGAAGTTATATAGCTTACTTTTTTCTTATTTCATTTCCAGACTGGCAAGAATGTTACCAAAGATTCCGACAAACCAAAAAGAAACCCAACTGCATACTTCATTTTCCTGTCTGAGTTTAGAAAGAAGATGGCCAACCAGAAGCTGCCTGATGGTCAAAAAATCCCATCACTTGCTGGAGAGAAATGGAGAACCATGACTGACAAAGAAAAAGAACCTTATCTCAAGGAAGAGGCCAAAGAAAAAGCTAAATATGAAGAGGCCATGAAAGAGTATAGGAAAAAGGTAGAAAATTAATATCAAGATGCTATGTACATTAGCTATCACAATAAATATTTTTATGATTAATTTTTTGCCAAAAATTGGCCCTTGAAGCAATGGTGTTCCAATATAATGTGGAAAAATGATATCATTTAATGCTGTTTTCATTCGATTTTGTGTATGGTTGGTTTGCCAGATAAATTTTGTTTGAAATGAATGCACATAGTGGAACACCACAAGAATAACAACTGAACTTTTAGTATGACTGAAAGAGCTAAATTTACCTTGATGTCTTTTGAATGAGTTATGTTACACTTGATTCACACTATGGACGAGTGAAAAACTGAATATAGGAGATGAAATATTTTTGTGCTTGGAGATTTGTTTAAAATAACATTTTATTTAGTTTATAGATCAGTTGTGATCTGAGAATGTAAATCTAACATCTAAAATATTATATTACTCTATGATAGGCCAAGGATGCACCAAAACCTGAGAAGAAAGTAAAACCAAAAAAGAAGCCTGAACCAGAAGAAGAGGAGGAGGAAGAGGACGAAGAAGAGGAGGAGGAAGAGGATGATGATGATGATGATGGTAAGTGTACGTGTACATGTATATTCTGTGTTATACCTTGTACCATTACCTAGTGAGCAGGGTTTTCATTAGATGCTTGCAAAGTCTGGCGTCTATTTTTAAGTAACACTTCGGACACCTTATGATTTACCTGTGATTGCTTACAGCCACCTACTTCCAAATTTAATTAAACCCCTGCTAGGAAGAGATTTCTCAAGAGAAATTTACTTCTAAATAAGTTTAATTAAAATGTTACTATGTTAAGAAGTAAAACTGTGGTTTCTATTAGTTATTAGTGATTGGATGACTCCAGTCATGGAAGGTTTTTTTGAGACATTTGTTTTAGTGAGATTCAATCAACTTCCTGTTAGTTCCATTCCATTTTGATCAAAGGCTTATAGTTAGTTTGCACCACAGGAAGCCCAAACAATTAACAATGAATATAGTTGTTGATCAAAAGTTGTACAACTATACATGTATCCATACATGTTAAATACAAATGTCAAATGGCTCTAAAACTCACCTTCCAATATAATATAAAACTATCAAAGCAAAAAGGTAACATATTGGAGCAAACAACATTATTGGATGGTATTGGGTGATATTGAATAGTATATTCAAAGACAAAAGTGCATCATTAAGTACTGGACACAACAAACKTGGTGTTAGAAAATGGGTTTTGGTATTGGAATATACTATCTTCAGTACACATTGCTTTGGAAATAACTGAATATATATATAATATATGGCACAGTTTATTAAAAATTCTATTGACTAATGATATGATTGTTATCTTGCTATGATTTATTTCTTTTCTTTCTGCTTGTTTTTCTCTAGCTGAGGAAGAAGATGATGATGATGATGATGATGATGAGTAAAGTTGGAACTGAACATCATTATGTTTCATAGATTTTGAAGCTATTTCTATACAATCTGAGCTCCTATGATTTTCTTGACAGTTTTACCTTATGTACTGATATTAGAGCAGCTTTTTACATAAAAGCCGGCCAGCTTGTGCCTTAACAATACTCTTCAGGAAAAGCACTTTTTAAAAACTTTTTTTATGAAACAAAGAGTATTGCTAAGGMACAGATAGTTCTGTATGATATTACTAGTTCTTTTACTGTAGTAATGGTCTTTCTGTGTCTAACACAATGTGCCGTAGTCTTGGCTAACTTTCTTTGTATTTAAGAATGTTTCTACTCAATATCATTTTGAGTTTATACTCAAATGAATGTTGTATTCTGTCGTGTCATTTCCATTGTGGAACATRCAGAAAGAACCATAACAGCAAGTTTTTGATTTAGATTATGAAAGCAAAACATTGGTTGTCTGCCTTTTGAATCTCAGTTTTACAAAATCAGATACAACCAAGTATTTGTGTTAGCATTATAAAGTTGTTTTGACTGTATGAAATTTGCATGAAAGTTAGAAGTGTCCTTTTTTTTAGGATGCTTCAAGTTTTTGCAGTCAATACTATTTTTGGTCTGAGAGACAAATGAGATTTTTCATAAATTAATGGAACATTTCACTTGTATAATGAAGGTTACCATTTTGAGTTTTTTGATGTTTAAAGACATCACTAAATACCTTGTGTAAGTATTGTATTCATACGCATATCKGTAATGTGTATTGCAGTTGTTCAGACAATTAAAAAATTGTGTTTGRTAAAGCTTTGGTTCATGTTTTTGAGACTCAAGGCAGAGGTTTCATTAATAGGGGGAGGGGGGGTTTAAGATTGTGAAGGCAATTGAATGCAAAATAGGCTGTTTGCATTATGATATAACTTTACTACAACTACCAGAGAGCCTTGTGCATTTTCATTGTTATTCAGATTTTTAATCCCCTTGGAGATTAATAAAACAATTGGCACTAATTGCATTACAAAAGAAAGTTGGCAAAGCATTCTGGTAGTTGTAGTAAATGACGCCATAATAATGCATATCACCTATTGCCAAACAATTTGATGTGTATGATCATAAATAAACAATGTGATAAATTTTATAATAGACTGTATCTGGGATATGCCAGTGTTCTCAAAAATTGCAGTAAGATAAGCAAAGATATATGCAAGTTTTGGAACTCTGCTGAAATATAACTTCTTATCCTGCATCCACCTGTGAATCCTGGAAAATCACCTTCTGATGCGAAAAATTATTCTGTTATAATTATTTCTGTCATCACAAACCTGCCTGACAATACTGATGGAATAAGTTATGCGATGATGGTAGCACTTGCAAAAGATACGGTTCTTTAGTTTCAAGAATGACATGATTATAATTTATTTTGGAAAAGAGCAAATTATTCAACTGAGTTATCATTGGGAACCTACTTCTGTCACTTGTTCATGTTCCCAGACAAAAATACAAAATACTCTTTCTGGGATTGAGTAGCCTGCGTTACATCCGGAAGCAGTTACATAAGACTCTAACAGTTTGAGAGGGTGGAAATGTGTGGGTTGGTAGATAGCTGGGATATAAATCTTTTGTTCAGTTTTCGTTCTTAAAGAATTGCAGAAATGTCAGAAAATAGAACATTCGAATTTAGTAAAAAGGAATAAATTAAAACAAGATAAAAGAAAGCATTCAGCCTCAGTGATCTTCTTTTGTCTTTTTAATTTATTCCTTTTTACTAAAATRCAAATGTCCTATTTTTATAACGTTTTCGCAAGTAGGTGTTTATGTGTAGATTGGTCATGAATGTTGGGTATTTATCTCCCTCACAAAACAAAGAATTGGCCTATATTCACAGAGAGTTCATTGGGTATTGTTGTCCCATACAACAATTAAAAAAATTTAGCCATTTTTTACACAATTATCCAGACCTTTTGTATGCAGAAACTTTTTAGAATTACTTAGAAGCAGGATAAATCCATATTGCACTTCAATAATATGATTCCTCCTTCACGATCACACACCAGATTTAATGAAAAAATTAAAGTTTGCATAACAGTTTTCAACATTATATAACCAGGAAACAGCACCTGTTCAAACTTCTCTCTCAAACTAAGAGGAAATATCATATCAAAGTAACATAAGTGCAGGACAAGTTGAACTCTTTCATTGTCTTTTAATAAATTCACAAAGTTCTCTTTCTCAAACATTTCTTGCAATCAGGTACTGAAATCTGTTGTGTTTTTTTTGCAATCAGGTACTGAAATTTTCCAAAAAATAAACTAAATTAATATTCTAGTATCAGCGATTCATAGTTTTTACAATTTATATAAAAAACCTTGATATTTTTTAATGAAATTCAGCATTGCGCTTGAAGTGCAATTTGCCCATAATTAT